TGAGGACACAAATGTGTATAATGACATGGGTACTACAAAACATAAACATGGTTTATGAGGACACTTCCTATGTTCCCGTAAAACAAAAGGCTTAAAAAAACATACAAAATGGTGTTTTATGAAATTCAAAAATTGCCAGCAGTTTTGAGTGTGTGTGTGTGTGTGTCTTGCACTGACTTCCATTGCATTGTGCGTGTGGTTCCTGTAGGCTTCTGTGTACTGTGATAAGAGGAGAGGAAATCCTGTTCATTCCCTCTTGGCCTTTTTTCTGACCTCTGATCCAGCTCATTGCCGCCCATGGTGACTGATGCTGTTTGGAATATAATTGCACAAAAAGGCAGATCCGTTGAATGCAGTGCTGTTCTGTTTCCTGCTGACAGAACCAGTGTGTTTCACTCACAAACATGCATGAGGGAGTCATCAAACCTCAAGCTCAAGCATTGTTGATCCATCTCAAACCGGTTTAGGTAGTCATTACTCCATCTAATGCTGTGCTGTCCTCCTCAGGTGAAATGGACCATGGAGGTGCTGTGTTACGGCCTGACGCTCCCGCTGGATGGAGACACGGTTAAGTTGTGTGTGGATGTCTACACTGACTGGATAATGGCCCTGGTGTCTCCACGAGACTCTATACCCCAGCCCATCATCAAAGAGCCCAACCTCTACGTCCAAACCATCCTCAAACACTTGCACAACCTTTTCCTGCCCAGGTGTGTTCGGCCTATGGTTTTAATTACCCATGATGCACTGTGCACCAAACTGTTCCGTGACTGCATTGATGAACACTGCATACTGCACTCTTTGTACTGTACAGTACCTACAGTATATAAATATATTTTTTGGATAATAGTATGGGAAACATTGCACAGTATGCAACAATAATTTCAAACATTATTATGCTTCATTGATGTTGTAACGTTTATTTCAATGAGCGGTGTCCACTTAATATCTCATAAAATAAAAAACAATTATTTTGTATGTTTTATGCAGTTTAATGAAAAAATGTCTATTGCAGCTCAAACAATGATAGATAGATAGATAGATAGATAGATAGATAGATAGAATTAAAAATATATATTTAAAAAAAAATTCAACAAAAAATGTAACAAAAAAAATTCCCTCATACTGCTATTTGATGAAAGAATATTTTATTTATAATTGTGTTTCCTATTTTAGGATAATAGCGCAGAAATGTGTAATGACATTACATAAATGCTTCCTTTTCCACAATGTTTTATATAGTGTACTATTATACTTTTAATATACTAATACCTATTATATGTATTAGAAATCTCCTTAAAATGATTAAACATTTAAACTTTTTAATGATTATCTTTGAAAAAGATAATAATTAGTTTTGTTCTGATGAAATGGCTCTCCTAGAACATTAACAATATTATTTTTGGATTTGAGCATGTGATGATAGGCTTGTGTTCTGTCTAGTAAGTGTAGCACTTCCTGTTTGTGCTTTCTGATTTTGAATATTCTTGCTGCTTTCTTTCAGACCAGAGCACTTCAGCCTGGTGCACTTTAAATTGTGTCAGCAAGTGCTGTCTGCCGTGCAGAAGTTGGCACGTGACTCGAACGGCATGGCCAGAGAGACCTGGGAGGTGCTGCTGCTCTTCCTGCTGCGCATCAATGACACGCTACTGGCCCCGCCCACTGTGGGAGGTGTGTATGTCAAACACAGTGATGTTTCCCTCTAAAATAGATTTAACTAGACCTTACATTGACTGACAAACAAATGAGAGAATGTGCACGCTTTGCATCTAAACAAACTGCATTTTGTGTGCAGTATGCAAATTAACCTCCTCTGATGTAATTGTGTTTCCTGTTTTAAGATAACGAGTGCAGAAATGTGTAAAATTCTGTTTTTTTTTATCAACCATACATAATCAGATTTATATGACATGTTGAAAAGTTGTTTTTACTTTTTGTTGTTTTAATTGTTTTCATATGCAAAAAAATATCAACCAATCATTCATAGATGCAAACTCCTCACCTTTCAGTAATAACTCACTTTTTTAAAATCAAAATAGGTCACCTATGAGATTTGCTTAGATCCAATGAGAAAGTGTTTTCACGAGGGGGCGGGGTCTTTCAAGGGTAAATAAAGAACTGGGCCCGGTTGCATAAACTATTTAGACTAGTCTTAAAAAGTTAGTAATTTAATTTTTTGGTTGTTTCAATAAGTTTTGTATAGTATTTTCTTTACGCCTTACTTTAAAAACTATGTCTAAAAAGGGTAATATTGTATGTATTTGAGGTCTGAGATGTGGGAACGGTGAAGAGAGAGAGGGCACATTTAGCATTTTAGGTCAGCATTGCCGTGTAATCAACCAATATTGTCTTAAATAGCCTGCAGAGCACTTCATCTTTTATAACATGGGATTTTATTCAATCTTGATTTTTGTAAAATTTTGCAACAAGATGTTAAGAAATTATTTTATTTGTTGTTGGTGGTGTTTTTGTGAACAATTACAGTTTTGGACATATAAGGTCATACAAAATATTTTTCAAAATACGTTAAAGTAACTACAAATGAGCATGTAAAGCAAATATCTTTAAAAGAAATTCTGTGTGGAGCAAGCCCCCGATCCACGCAAATTTCTCACCTTTTTCCTCCCTTACCTGGTTGCATCTCTGAATCATATTTTGACTTTGCAGCTCCATAATACAGTAAGGAAGTATTTCAGCAAAAACAAGCTGCACATATGTGACCCTGGAGCACAAAAGCAGTCTTAAGTAGCACAGGTATATTTGTAGCAATTGCCAAAAATCATTAGGATATCATTGTTCCATGAAGATATTTTGTAAATTTCCTACCGTAAATATATCAAAACTCAATTTTTGATTAGTAATATGCATTGCTAAGAACTTCATCTGAACAACTTTAAAGATGATTTTCTCAATATTTAGATTTTTTTTTGCACCCTCAGATTCCAGATTTTCAAATAGTTGCTTCTCAGACAAATATTGTCCTATCCTAACAAACCATACGTCAATGGAAAGCGTATTTATTCAGCTTTCATATGATGTATAAATCTTAATTACGAAAAATTGACCCTTATGACTGGTTTTGTGCTCCAGGGTCACATTTCTGCTTTTTTAATTTTTTTTAATGAAGTGCATTTTCTAGTCTAAAAGTGCTGTTTTCTAAGCAAAAGCTCTGGCTACAAGTCAAAATGAATGGCCCTTGTTCCACTAGTGCTGCTGATCGTGCTGAACGTGTAGACGACAGGTATGGCTGGTTGTGTCTCCTGTAGGTGGAATAGCAGAGAAGCTGGCAGAGAAGTTGATCAGCGTGCTGTTTGAGGTTTGGTTCCTGGCCTGCACTCGATGCTTCCCCACGCCGCCCTACTGGAAGACGGCCCGAGAGATGCTGGCCAACTGGAGACATCACCCTCCGGTGGTGGAGCAGTGGAGTAAAGTCATCGCTGCTCTCACTTCCAGGTACTGCAGGCCTGCATCATCGCTGCAGCTTTATTTCTGTTCTTTTATTTATAGTTTATTTAACCGGGACAATACAGAATATCATTTCTGCACAATATTGAGCAGGTGATGCTCTAGGTCAAATACAAATAAATAAATAAATGTGTAATATAGCATTTATTTGTTTGTTTGTACATTAGAATTTGTCCTTTGTATTTATTTATTTTATTTTTTTCTGAGCAAAAAGTAATATCACACATTTTTTTACATGCACTAAAATGTCATTGTGTAACAATATTTCATATACCAAAAAAATCTTGTCAGGCGTATTTATAACAAGAATCATTGGATGACATTGAAAGACACTATTTAAGGATTCCAGTGCAGCCATAAAAATCTAATTTTAAATCTTTACCATTCTTTGCCACTATCCTTCAAACCACTAGATTTTTCCCATTTGTCAACGAGACATTTTTAATCTAATTTAAAATATAATAAAATTTAGTATGATCACTTATTCTTTTATATATTTTAATAAGTGCAGGTCAGAATAAGTATGTTGTTTCATTTTTCCTTAAATATCTGTTATGCTGAATGACGATGAAACATTGTTTCACCTGTATTTTTCATAAAAGTTGTTTGAAACATTAAAGTTTAGCTTTCTATGTATATGAAATCCTGTTTGTAAATTTAATTTGGTGCAGACACCAAAATGGGACGTCTTGTTTTTGACCCATATATGCTTCTAGCTGATAGCTTTTACTTTGGGCCTTTCATTGTTAATGCACGTCTAGGTGAATTTATTTATATGCTCAGTCAGAACAAAGTGGGAAAGACGCTTGTTTGTGACACACAATCATTGTGCGTTCAGAAATGCAGGTTCAAAACCTGACTGCATTAGAATTTTTGGTGTGAGTTAAGGAGGCAGCCTTATCAGTGGTGCACGAGATGCGAGGACGATGTAAATGTCGTTGCATTATAATGTTTTTGTTAGCATATCCAGTTGAAGCCACTAGATGGTGCTGCTGCGTTGTTCATTCAAAATATTGCGGGAAAAGAGAACACCAATGCGGAGAAGATCTTGTTTACATCAAAACTGAAACCACGCATATTTATTGCATTTTCTAGAGGGACATCTATCACCGTTGCACTCGCGTCTTGCACAAGAGAGCCATGTAAAATGAATGCAAGTTCAACTTTTAAAAAAACATGTCTCGAGACTTTATGGCAGGGTTTTTCCCCATCCCACTGCATCTCATGTTTTTAAATGAAAAATGTACTCTGTGCGATTGGCTTTCGGCCCTTTGTATTAAACTATGCAAGTATGCATACATACATGATGCTGTTTTTTTATAATTTGGTTTATAAACATTATTTTAAACATTATGCACTTTTTTTCACAGATAGTCATGTTATCTTATGCTTTGAATAAACGTGCATTAGTAATATTTTGCTCGATGCGCCCTCTTGTGGCCTCAAGAGAGAAAGCAAAAGCTTTTCTTCACCCTAACTGAAATTATGCATTTTAAATTTGAATATAATTCGAATTTTGATCATATTTAAGTACAAAATTCAAATTTAGTTTTCAGCCATTTTGACTGCCCTACTGCTTACTGTCCCAGTCCACTGGATCCATTCTGCTCATGATTACTTACCTAAGTTGTTTGTTTATATCTCTCTCCTTCAGTAACCCCGTGGACCTGAGCAATCCCGTCATAGTGAGTTCCA